TTCTATGTAGCCTGATATTCCTATTCACACCTGGAAGCCCCCAAGAAGGGACTCCTTGTGCGTGAGCACGAGGTCACAGTCCTTGATCTGAGCGTGCAGGGCCAGCAGCCTATTGCCTTCCATGCTTCTATGTAGCCTGATATTCCTATTCACACCTGGAAGCCCCCAAGAAGGGACTCCTTGTGCGTGAGCACGAGGTCACAGTCCTTGATCTGAGCGTGCAGGGCCAGCAGCCTATTGCCTTCCATGCTTCAATGTAGCCTGATATTCCTATTCACACCTGGAAGCCCCCAAGAAGGGACTCCTTGTGCGTGAGCACGAGGTCACAGTCCTTGATCTGAGCGTGCAGCGGCAGGCAGCAGGTTGTCCCGCTCCTCTCCTACTTTCATGTAGTCCTGGATCGATTCGAATCTAGTCCAACCAAAGCCTCTGTGCAACCTTCTCTTCATACCTGGAAGCCCCCAAGCAGGGACTCCATGTGAGTAAGCACGTGGTCACAGTCCTTGATCTGAGCGTGCAGGGCCAGCAGGTTGTCGCTCTCCTTCATGTAGTCCTGAATCGACTCCAGCTCCACCTGCCTCAACTTCTCCTCCACCTCACGTGCAAACTCACGCAGGTCGCTGCCTTGTCCCAGGATGTTGGACACAACCTGTAAAGGGGGCCCGCGGGGGATAAGGGACACATGCATGCAGAGTCTTATTTGTGGTGGGCGTGGAAGCTGGATCGACTCCAGCTCCACCTGCATTAGCTTCTCCTCCACCTCCTGTGCAAACTCACGCAGGTTGCTGCCTTGCCCCAGAATGTTTGAAACAACCTGAACGGTCGAGAGGAGGAGGCAAGGACACATGCGAAGTTCAATTTGTGGTGTGGTGGGTATAAACAAGTTCTTGTAATGCTGGCAGAAAGTCCTTGGAGATTGCAATATAGTAAAGCTTCCACTACTTGGTTGCATCACTCGGGAGTCAGGACTGACCTCGTGGTCTTTGAACCGATCCAGGTCCTCCCGAAGCCCTTGTAGGAAAGACTCGTCCCTGCAGAGAAAAGAGCGGTCAGGGACGCAGAGACGTAGGGAAATGTAAATGGAGCGAAGACGATGAGAAATTCCAAAGCACAATTTCAAAGGTAAAGGGGAGGAACTTGCGAATGGGAAAAGGAGGTCTGGCCTGGCTGAAAACCAAACACATACAAAGACACAGCCAAGCGTCCAATGCAAGCAATAAAGAGCAGGTTCGGTAACAACGGTCTTCCTTGTAGCTCAACGGCTCGGTGCCTCCACAGGCTCGGCACTCAAATGTTGCTTAATGCTCTGTAACGCTCGGCGGCTCGGTGCTCACTCACACTGCAACATCTTCGCCAAATGTCAGGTCGCCTCCTGTTGTGTGCAGTGCCGACCCCATCGCATCATCCTGCACATATTGGGCAAGAAAGAAGGCGGTTAACTTTGTTAGTATGCCTGTATACCGCTACTAGCTTCCCCCTTCCCCCTTCCCCTTCCCCCTTCCCCTTCCCAGCAACTAAAAGAATCTTCATCAGCTACTGAACAGCAAGGTCTTTAGTTAAAGGAACCTTAAACGACACCGCTTACCAAATCGTCATCAGAACCGAATAGCTCATCCAGCAACTGAGCAGCCAGCTCTTCCGAGGAAAGCTGCTGCGAGTTCAGACGGTAACGAACTCCGTTAGCGCTTACCGAATCGTCGTCAGAGCCGAATAACTCGTCCAGCAACTGAGCAGCCAGCTCTTCCGAGGAAAGCTGCTGCGGAACCGACGACCTCCTCTCTTCGGCCGAATCAGGGCCACCCGGCAGTTTCCCATCGTTTGTCATCGCTGGAGCGCCTAGGCTTGCCGGTGGTAGTGACGACGATCCTGGATTCGCGAACAGCGCTTGAGGACTCGCCACAGTGGCCATTGACTGACTGTGATCTGCGTGGCTGATCCGACGACTCTAACGGTCTGGAGTATAGCTCAGAAAGTCAACCTTTCATGGAAATCGCTGTAGTTAAAAGGCCTAAAACGCAGTTCCGGGCGCAACGGAACAAGGCTGAGAACTCCGTAACGGCGCAGATGACGATTAGAGTGTACTGCTGGAGACCCGCCTGACAAGCTAGATGTCGGAGGAATTCTAGGACATGCTGGGCTGGTGTGAAGGAATGCCAGAACCACGAGGCCAGGCCCTCAGATTCGTTTTCAAGCTGTCTGATTCATCAGACTTAGTGCACATTTTTAGTCTGATCAATCAGACTTGATACCATAAAAAAGTCTGAAATTTCAGAGTTCAAACATACAAAAGTCTGATAGAGCAAAGTTCACATAGTAGTGAAGCTTACCGATCAGCCTAAAACGAGGCGATACACCCGCGCAGCAGCAGTGCTGTCACTGTTTCAGCGTGACTGACAGGACGAAACGATCCTTCCGGCGCTAAGGGCGGGGGCAGCGCGTTCATTTTCCTGGCTTAGCCCGAAACAGTTACCAGATTCAGCGGTTTGTAACCCTGATTTAGGGTAACATGTGGACACGACAGAACATACAATGGATGAACGGTGGCTGTTTTCCGTGCCGTCAACCGAACAAAACACGTACCCACGACGGCCGCGAACAACCCGCGCATCATTCGAGAATGCTTGTGTGCAGGTCAGCGAAACCGCGTCACGACTTCGTCAAGCGCGTACGACCCTCGCAAATTCAGGGGTTCACAAACACAACCAGAACTCTGTCGCACAGGGTTACCTCATTGGGTGGGCGGTTAGGCAAAAGTGTGGCAAGACCTGTGCGCAATTTTGGACGCGCGTGTCCCACCTGGGACACAAACTAAGCGCGGTACAAAAATGCTAGAGTATCTTCCAGATTCGACGGGTGTCCAAATTTTGGAAAAGTGGCGAAAATGAACGCGCTGCCCCCGCCCTAATTGTGGCTGTCTGTGCAGAGTTCGCGTAGGTACAATCGGAGCAGAGAGCCCAAACAGGATCAGGAATCAGAGTACACTCCGAGGAAAAGTCTTAAATTTCAGACAAGGCCTATATTTTTTTATGAATATTCAGAGTTAGCTGCCAAAAAAACTCTGCACTTTCAGAGTCCACTTAAAAAAAAGGCTGAATATCAGACTTTTTTAGGCAAATCAGAGAAATTTCTCTGACTTCTGGGGGCCTGCACGAGGCCTTGATTTTGACAAGGCTGGCCCGACCTGGAGTATCAAATGACAATCTCGAGGCCGAAGGGCTTCCATAAGGAGGAAACCGCTTTTCCATAGAATAACTGACTCCAGCCGTTATCCGCATGTATTCTTGTATAGGTACGTGTACAGCATAACCGTCAGAAGCTCTCTACTTGAAAATTGGTAATATCAATGTTTAGATGTCAACGCATTACATGAAGATAACAAGTTTGATTTTAAGTAGATTTCATATATGATTTCTCTGGTCTATTGGCGGTATGTCATATTACGGTGCAAAGAATGTACCTAGTATAGAAGGGCAATATGTACATAAACATTCTGTGCAATTAGAAGAAGCATACTAAACTGTGAAGGGACCAGCTTGTAAATGATAAGGGGGCGTCCCAACTCCCAGCGGTAACTGATCAGAGTGCGATGCCGCAAACCGCTGGGAGACAAGGCGTGACAAAGGCGTGGGTAGGGCGAGAACCAGAGCGGCCATCTAGGCGTGAGGAGCTTACAAGGCCTGCCGTTTTGTTCGCCAAATCTGCAGCATGTCGAAAGTGGGATGCGGGATGTTGACGGTATTTGACGGCAGTGGACGGGATTCGTTTGGGTGCTTCCTCGGGACGTCTGCGTTCAAAGGGGTCTCGACACCTCGACACCCAGCCTCGAGATTCCCGATCCCTTGGGGATGTCGAGGGATGTCGAAAGTGCCTGTTGCGGGCCGGAAAACGGGCAGAAAACGAGAAAACCAGCAAATAGAAGCGGCCATAGTCAGATTTGGGGAACTTATCGATTCAAGGGACTCCCACCTCGTCAATCACATGTTGGAGGTGAAAAACGCGGGAGAGAACATGTCCTCAGGCCGGACATCCGTCGATTCACTGGATATTGACGGATTTCGTTGAGAAATTCGGACACAAGGTGACATCCTCGCATTGTTTTTGAACGGTTGTGATTCGTATCAGTTCCCTCACTGACACTGTTGGGTGCTGGTGGGGCTGCTGCTGGAGGCTGTGCTGCTGGAGGCCAGGAATGTGAAATGGCCAATTTAAAACGGAGTTTGGGGCTTCATAAATGAGCAGCCTCACTTGCGCAGCTCTCTGTTGCTGGTGCGACTGAGCTGCCGGCGGTAACCATGAGTGATAGAATACCCTTTCACAACGAGATTCGTTCAAATCAATTCACTAGCACGGTTAGCTGCTACTGCAGAACCTGTGCTGCCAGTGAACTAGTGCTGCTGCTGAACCTGCGCTACTAGTGGGCCTGATAGACTGGAGTGGGAGTTTTGACATCGGCTGATTGGCACAACCAGCTGCTGCCTGTGGGTCTATTGATCAAGGGAAAGCGAATTGACCAGATCCGTCCTGTGCCGCTGGAATACTCCTATACCAGACTCTCTCTCGTCGGGCCTGAAACGCTCTCCTACTGCAGATTGTCCTACGTTTGAATACGAACACTCAACCAGAGTTTTGAGTTGTGAGGCGCCTTAGAACTCAGCTAGAGTGTTGAGAGCCATGGATTATGGAGGCAACAGGGGGCGCGGACGGAACCATGGCGGACGGGGAATCTTAGGAGGCAGAGGAGGGCGGCAATCTGGTAATCCGAATCAGAATCAAAATCATGGGGGAGGCGGCGGACGTGGTGGGAGTGAGAGAGGAAGGGGGGAAGAGGAGGGGGAGGAGGAGGAGGAGGAGGAGGAGGAGGAGGAGGGGGAGGAGGAGGAGGAGGAGGAGGAGGAAGAGGAGGACAAGGAGGGGCGTCCAGTTCAGAGGGACAGGAGAGGAGGGGGCCTAGCCTGTGGTCCTTCCTGCCTGCTGACAGAGATTTTCTGAATCAGTCTCAGATGAGGACGTTCGTTAACGCAATGGAGGCTCATGACGCTTCAGGTACTCGCATTTTTCCGGAGAACCTTCACTTGATGACATGATTGAGAGCTGCTAATGCTACTTTTAGGTTGTCAGGGTCAACCAACCATGCTGATTTCACATGATTATTGTTGTCAATTCCAACCTTTTGTGCAGATCTTGTGATTGTGCTGGCTGACGACAAGCTGTTCGGTAGAAAGAAGGTGGTGAGCATCTGTCGAGAGGCCGTGGCTTGCGGTCCTTCAAGATCCGTGTCGGCTGGAAACCACAGCCGATTTGTTTCCTTCCAGGGTGTAATCCTGCCCATGCTCAGGGTCATCTGCCAGGTGACGTCCTGCAATTTCGTTTGACATTCCATTTGCAATTTCGTTACAACGTGGTAAACATTTCTGCTCTAATTCATTCTTTGAGATTTCTATTAAGCTCATATTATTGATTGGTATCTCATTCTTGGGATCGGTATTTTGCAGCCTGAGTTTTTCAACAACCCTGCATCGAGCAAGGTCAACGTAACACTAGCAGCAATCGTCGAGGTGGACGGTCTCCAGGAGTACCTCATCGGCTGCATGCGCCTCCTCACCCAACGCGGGATGATCCGCGATCTGTCACGGGACGACGACAATATCAACGACTGGGATGCGGCATTCGACGTCATCATCAGCTTCTTCAACCTGACCATTGATCGCTTCTATTCCTTATTCGACGCCGCACAAGCTAGTACTGACATGCAGGAACTAGAAGGCATGCTTGAGAAATGGCAGAGGGAGAAGCCGGTGTTTGATGGCAAGTACCACAGCATTCGGTCGGTGATCTACAGGCTGAGGAAGTCGCTGGATAGGCGGCAGCACAGCGAGAGACAGCGGCAGAGGATGGAGGAAGGGCAGCTGCTGCATGCTGAGTTCTTCCCTTCAGGTCTGTTCGTGCTGTGCCAGGAGGAGCTGCTGGTCTGATTAATTGCGGCAGATAGCGATGATTTGTCTTTGATTTATATCGATTACGCAAATGAATTCGTGTTAATTCTATGATGTGAACCATGTGCGTGCTACTGCAGGTCAGCGCATGTCCAGCATGCAGGATGTGGATGGTCCGGGCGAGCTCAGCTTGGAGGGCCGACCAAGGCATGACAACGACCATCTTGAAATCTCAGCCGTAAGATGATGGTCATCGTCTGATGTAACTGACTCTGACATGGCAATAACTGATACCAATAAAACCATTTCTGCCTTGTGCGTTGGATTGTGTTTCTCATATTTTCCTGCTCCCTTCATCAGTTGTCGTCACCTGACACTAGAATCCTGTCCTGCTGATTCTCTTTTCCACGACTCGACTTCTCCTATCCCAGTAGTTCCCTGCCCCGAGACTCGACTCAATAGTAATTTCCAATAATTCCCTTTACCATCTGGACTCCAGATTTCAGTGGCTTCAACGATGGAGGAGGTGCTGTGCAAGGCGTCGCCTTACCTGCCACACAACCACCCCTAACGAGCCTATTGACCACACTCCTCCTGTCCGAATGTCTCTCTTGCCCAATTCCACCAGATTTCGGTGGCGCCAACGATGGACAAAGTTCTCTGCAAGGCGTCGCCCTACCTGCCGCACAACCACCCCAACGAGCCGCACCACCTGCCAGCGGGCTCCGTAGCCCGCCACGTGGACATCCAGTTCCGCCTGCTCCGCCTCGACTTGATCGCCCCGCTCTGGAGCAAGGCACTCTTCCTCTTCCACCGCCACCAAACTCCTTTCCTGATGCCTCCTTTTGTTACAATACCTCTTCCCTTGCCCGAATCACCAGATTTCAGTGGCTTCAACGATGGACGAAGTTCTCTGCAAGTCATCGCCCTACCTGCCGCACAACCACCCCAACGAGCCGCACCACCTGCCAGCGGGCTCCGTGGCCCGCCACGTGGACATCCAATTCCGCCTGCTCCGCCACGATTTGGTTGCCCCACTCTGGAGCAAAACGCTCTTCCTCTTCCTCATTTTGAGAGTTCTTACAAACACCCTGACAAACCAGACTCCTCCTCTCCCATTACCCTCTCCCCCCTCCTCCTTTTGCCCAGATTTCAGTGGCGCCAACAATGGAGGAGGTGCTGTGCAAGGCGTCGCCCTACCTGCCACACAACCACCCCAGCGAGCCGCACCACCTGCCAGCGGGCTCCGTGGCCCGCCACGTGGACATCCAGTTCCGCCTGCTCCGCCACGATTTGATTGCGCCCCTCTGGAGCAAGGCACTTTTCCTCTTCCACCGCCTCAACCAGGAGTCATCCCGGGGTGCCCGTGGGGGAAGCAGCAGCGGGAGTAGCAGCGGGAACAGCGGTGGCGGTGGGGGAAGCAGGGAGGAGGCGATGGGGCTGCTGAGGGCGGACAGGGAGTTGGTGCGGGGTCTGACGGATGATATGAAGGGCGTGGTGGGGTTTTCGTCGGAGGACATGGATGTGTATCTGCTGCGCGATGTGCACGTGCTGTCTATCAACACGGACAAGAGAAGTGGAGTTTACTTTCTGATTGACTTTCTGGAACCACCGATGCCGCGTGGCCGGAATGCCCGTAACAGGTAACCCATCGCTAGGTATCTCACCCATGTGAGGCTTGCTCGAGTAGGCTGGTCTTCCTCAGCCTGGTGAGTTTGAGTTCCCTTCCCTTTCGAGGACATGGACGTGCATCTGAGGTGAGCTTGAAATCGACTCAAAAGTCACTCAAAGAAATAGTCTCCTGTCGGAGGACATGGATGTGTATCTGCTGCGCGATGCGCGCGTGCTGTCCATCAACATGGACAAGTGGAGCGGCGTTTACTTTCTGATTGACTTTCTCGAGCCCCCCATGCTGCGGGGCCGGCATGCTCATAACATAACAGGTAACCCAAACTTTTTTGCACTGAATGCTTAGTTGCGCTTGATGCAATCCGTACCAGAGCAGTGGACGGGGTGTACTTTCTGATCTACTTCCTGGAACCACTGATGTTGCGAGGCTGGCATGCCCGTAGCAGGTATCTCCCTTAGCTTGATCTTCTTTAGAATCAGGCGTAGTCAGACTCAAGTCACTTGCGTGAAAGACACCTATGCGATGCATACATACATACGCATAAATCAGTCTTGGGCTCTTCGTTACACCTTCTCGCATCCTCCCTGTTTTCTCTCAGGGTGGAGTTTTGGGAGAACACGCGGAGGCTGCAGAACGGCTCCCTGGTCTGCCTGTGGATCCGAGACGTCCAGCCCGGCCACACTCACCGCACTCGCAGGCAGCAGCAGCAGCTCGACCCTGCGGGAGACTCTTCAGCGATTGACTCTTCCTCCCACCGGCTCGTCTTCGCGACTATCACCGCCCGTGACACCAAGAGGCTCGCCACTGCGAGGCCGCAGATAGGAGTGCAGCCGTGTGGGGAGAACGGGTTCAGTGCGGATCTGCTGGGGCTGATCGCACAGGATGGCAGTGGGGGGAGCGGTCGGAGTAAGGGCACACAGGTGGTGATGCTGGAAGCGCATGGGAGCTTCTTTGCGTACGAGCCGATTCTGAAGGCGCTGCAGAGCATCACTGACGCGTCGCTTCCCTTCTCTGAGTACATCTGTGGGGCAGCTGGTGGGGCACCTGGAGGGGCACCTGGGAGGGCAACTGGAGCGTACAAGCTGCCTGCATACATCAAAGGAGGCATGATGTGAGTAGGACGGGGAGGAACGAGGGGGGGGGTTGCAATGAGATGCTGGAGGCGAGGTGTTGAGTGTTAAAGATGTAGGGCTGTTGGGAGGCGGGAAAGCCACGCAACATTTTCTCAGCATTTTTGCAGTGACACTTCTCCTCATCATCTTTTTAAGAGAGAAAAAATTTGTGTGTGTCTCCTTGCTTTCGGTGACGGCTTGAGCTTGTTGCTCGAGACCAAGGTATCACCCCCCACCCCTCTGTTTTGTGTTCCCATGTGTGTTTTGTGTTCCCGTGCAGGTACGACTTGAGCCTGCTGCTCAAGACCAAGGTACCGTCCTCCTCCTCCCAGCAGGCAGGGAACTCACCAGAGGACGAGTTTTCCATCAAGAATGTGATGATCTCCAGCCGCACCGCCTTCCCCATGGATACTAAACCTCCCTGTGTTCCTGTGCTGTGTTTTCCCTTGCTTGCTTGCAGGTACGACCTGAGCCTGCTGCTCAAGACCAAGCCGCCCTCCTCCTCCTCTTCCCAGCAGCCACAGAACGCACCAGAGGACGAGTTTGCCATCAGGAACGTGATGATCTCCAGCCCCACGGCATTCCCCATGGATGCTCTCCTGCGCTGCACGTCGCTGGACGAACCCCAGACTGTGGCGCTGCGAGCTGCCCTCACTCAGGAGTTCGCTCTGCTGCAAGGGCCCCCGGGAACCGGCAAGGTGGGTTGTGTGAGCAAGTGAGTGATGGGGCGGCTCAAAATTGGGTGAATGTAGAGATTGGCAAGCTGTGATGTTTAGTTGGGAGGCCAAGAAGCGTCACTGGACGAGCCCCAGACTGTGGCGCTCCAGGCTGCCTCCGCTCTGCTGCAGGCTTCCCCGGGTACCGGCAAGGTGGGTTGGCTGATCAAGTGATTGGTGACGCGGCCCAAAATTGGGTGAATGTAGAGATTGGCAAGCTGCACAGCTCCCCCGGGAATTTGCAAGATGGGTTGTGAGGAAACAGGTTGTGACCAAAGGGAGCATAGGGGTTGTGAGAGATTGTGAGGCTTTTCTTCCAAGATTGGGTGAATGGGCGTCTTTTAAAGACGGGAGGCTAGTAGTGCTCTCACCTATCCCCCTCTCAACTTCCTCCTGATCACCTGCCCAGTTCTCACCTGCCCAGTTCTCACCTGCCCAGTTCTCACCTGCCCAGTTCTCACCTGCCCAGTTCTCACCTGCCCAGTTCTCACCTGCCCAGTTCTCACCTGCCCAGTTCTCACCTGCCCAGTTCTCACCTGCCCAGTTCTCACCCTCCCCATTCTCACCTACCCCCCTCTCATCTAACCCTTTCTCAACTACACCTCTCTCACCTGAGAGGGAGCAAGTGAGTGTAAGGTAGGTGAGAGGGAATTAGTTGCGAAAGGGGCAGATGAAAGGAGGGTAGGTGAGAGGGGGACAGGCTGGCAAGGTGGGCTGGTTGAAAACCAAAGTCTTCGTTTTGCAAACCCGTTATTGAGTTTTGTGCAGGCTTACACAAAAGATCATTCCTATTGTGCTGCGACTAAATGGTCATGCTATGCTGCACACATGTTTGAATATCCATTTTACGTGGCAGACGTTCGTGGGAATCAAACTTGTGGAGATTCTGCTGAGTAATCCACTCAAGAGCAGCTCGGCAGGTCATTTTGCTCGAGGCAGGGAGTTGGCCAGTTCAGCAGAGCCCATTCTGTGCGTGTGCTTCACCAACCACGCTCTGGATCAGTTCTTGGAAGGTCTCATCGCCAGCGGCATCAAGAATGTGAGTGCAGCACGTTCCGCGGGGCCCATCCTGTGCGTGTGCTTCTCAAACCATGCCCTGCATCAGTTCCTGGAAGACCGTGAGTTATAGACTGAGTTCCACAGCTCCCTTGTGTTGCGGTTCTTGCTGTAAGTTGGGTTTTGGCTTATGAATGGGTCGTTGGCAGGTTGCTTTTTCCTACAAGCCTCCACATCTGTGTGCAATGACTTGGGTCTGTGGCTCCTGCTGTGATTCTTACTGAGTGTTCTTGCTTCGCAGGTGGTGCGGGTGGGAGGGAGGAGCAAGTCAGAGGTTCTGCAAGAGTACAATCTCCTCAACATTATCCGAAGCTCTAATCTGGATCGCAGCAGAAGTGAGCACCACATAAATGCACCGCAGATGCTCCTAAACCTCTTTTTTTGTTTTGGGTACATAGAAATCTGAGTGTTGATACGCGCAGAACTGACAACTTGTGACACAAATGAACTACTTGTGTTGTGGAGATTGAAGTCATTTGAAGTACCTGACATCCATGTTTGTGTGTGTATGTGTATGTGCATGTGCGTGTGCGTGTGTGCATGCGTCTGTGTGTGTGTGAGTAGCGTACAGGCAATCGAGCTACGAGATGGGAAGCAAGCTAAGGGAGGTGGAGGAGGTGATAGGCATGTGCCTGTCTTGAAACTCAAGCTGTGTCACGTTTGTGCGCGTGGATGTGGTTCTCTGTGTGTGCAAGTGTGAGAGTGAGCAGCGTACAGGCAATCGAGCTACGAGATGGGAAGCAAGCTAAGGGAGGTGGAGGAGGTGATAGGCATGTGCCTGTCTTGAAACTCAAGTTGTGTCACGTTTGTGCGCGTGGATGTGGTTCTCTGTGTGTGCAAGTGTGAGAGTGAGCAGCGTACAGGCAATCGAGCTACGATGTGGGAAGCAAGCTAAGGGAGGTGGAGGGGGTGATAGGCGCGTGCCTGTCTCAAAGCTCTCTTTTGTTTTACGTGTGTGCGTGTGCATGGGGGTCTGTGCGATGTGAATGTGTGTGTGAGCAGCGTACAGGCAGTCGAGCTACGAGGTGGGCAGCAAGCTAAGGGAGGTGGAGGAGGTGATAGGCACGTACAGCGATGCGCTGCAGCAGCGCAGCGACAACGTGGCGGCTGTGGCGTGGGGTACAATCTCCTCCCACCTCATGGCCAACCACCCTGTTTTCTTCCAGGCTCTGCGCACCGTCAGCAAGGGAGACAAGGACGGGTTTGAGGTGAGTGTGTGTGTGGGTGGGTGGGTGGAAGGGCAAATGCGTGGCTGTCTTGTGGCGATCCATTGCCTCCCACCCCAGGGCCAACCACCCTGTGTTCTTCCACGTGCTCCGCACCACCTGCATCTGACCACCAAACCTCGTTCGTTTGATCCCTTTTCTCTGTTCACGTCACAGCAAGTGGGACGAGACAACTGGAAGCGATGGAAGCAAGGCCTGCCCAAAGAAAGTGGTGATTTAGAGGCTTCCTGACCGTCACTCCTTGTTCTTTTGGTCTCTTTTCTCTGTTCACGTCACAGCAAGTGGGGCGAGACAATTGGAAGCGGTGGAAGCAAGGCCTTCCAAAGGAAACTCTCCGTCGCAAGAAGGGTACTGCTGACACGTGGGGGGATCAGGCTCATGTATCAGGCAGGGGGAAGGGAGGTGAAGGAGGAGGAGGAGGGGGTGGAAGGGCGGGAATGCCCTCACAGGGAGGGGGAGGGGGAGTAGGGGGAGTGGGGATAGCCTCTTCTGGACAACATGCAGGCATGCAGAACGCGTTTGATGCCCTGGGTTTGCTCGGAGAGTTCGAGGTTGGGGAGGGGTGGGTGGGCGCAAGCAGCGCTAGGGACGGCGGAGTGAGTGAGGAGCTGAGCGAAATGGTGGGCATGATGGTTACCTTTTACGAGGGGGATAGCAGTGGTGGTGGGGATGAGGTGGCAGGCTTAGGCCTGGACGATTCCTGGCTGGGCCTTGTGCGTTCAGGGAGAGCGAGAGGGGCAGGCAGGGCCGTAGGGGCAGGAGGGGCAGGGGTAGGAGGGACAAGAGGGGCAGGAGGGTTCCCTATGGAGGAAGATCTCTCACACGAGTTCGGTGACTTGGGCATTCACGACAGCAGGGGAAGCCAAGGCAGCAAGGGGAAGAAAGGCGGCAGGCAACAGCACGGGGGCAAGGGGAAGGAGGAGGAGGTGGTGGAGGAGGAGGTGTGGGTGGGGCCGGAGGTGGATGAGAGAAGTGACAGAGGAGTGGAGGAGCTGTTGGGGTTGGAGGACCCGTGGGCAACGAGTGGGCGGGAGAGGAGGAAGCTGGTGGAGTTCTGGGTGGGGGAGCTGCGCGCCACTGCCACTGCTGCCATTGAAGCTGAAGTGGCGAATTATGCCAGGTATGCTGCTGCTGCTGCTGCTGCTGCTGTGAAGGCCAGTGGTGGTGGTGAATGCAGAATGTGATGGTGATGAAGGTAGGTGGCAGTGCTTGCTGGGTGGATGAGGCGTGTGACCGGGGGGTGGATGAGCTGTTGGGGTTAGAGGATCCGTGGGCAGCGAGTGGGCGGGAGAGGAGGAAGCTGGTGGAGTTCTGGGTGGGGGAGCTGCGCGCCTCTGCCACTGCTGCCATTGAGGCTGAGGTGGCCGATTACTCTAGGTGTGTGTGCTGCTGGAAGGTGAGTGAGCGCCGTGAGCGAGCGCCAGCAGGTGGAGGACGCGCAAGCGAATTGCACCCTGTGACTCTAAGCTTTTCTCGGCGTGTGCTCATGTGCGTTTCCCTTAGTGCGTGAGCACCTGGCATGTGCAGGAAGGTGAGGGAGCGCAGTGAGCTGCAGCAGGTGGAGGACATGCAAGTGCTGAGGATTGGGCAGGTGGTGGGTATGACCTGCAATCTTGTCTTAACCCGCACAGCAATACTTAGCTCTTCCACATGTAATTTGCCTTGTGCGTGTGTGCAAACGTGCAGGAAGGTGAGGGAGCGCAGAGCAAGTGGAGGGTCTGCAGGTGCTGAGGAGGGCGCAGGTGGTTGGGATGACTTGCACAAGCTGGCCTAACACAGTGATTCCAATCCGTTTTGCATTTGCATTTGCCTTTTTTTTGTGCTTCTGGTGTGTGCGTCTGTGTATGGAACATGCAGGAAGGTGAGGGAGCGCAGTGAGTTGCAGCAGGTGGAGGACCTGCAGGTGCTGAGGAGGGCGCAGGTGGTGGGCATGACCACGTCCGGGGTGGCTAAGATGCAGCGCCTCATCACGGCGCTCGGCCCGCGAGTGATCATCGTGGAGGAGGCTGCTGAGGTGCTGGAGGCGCACATTCTCACCTCGCTCACCCCGCAAACACAACATGTCATCCTCATAGGTATGGCTGATGCTGCTTCTGTGGTCGTGGTTGGGGTTTGTGGTTGCACACGAGGCTTCTTCACGGAGGAAGCAGCTGAGGAGCTGGAGGCGCTCATCCTCACCTCGCTGACACCGCAGACCCAGCATGTCATTCTTATATGGTACGACATGGGCTGTTGCTGCTGCGGTTGTGGTTGTGGTGTCACTGCCCGCTAGTTATTATTGATGAGGAGGCTGCTGAGGTGCTAGGTTGAGACGAGGGAGGATGAGAGCTTGACAAAGGGGAGGCAGGAGAGTGTGGGGGAAGAAACGGAGGTGGAAGAGTAGGGGGAGGGTGAGGAGAGGTGGGAAGAAGAGGAACCTCCGTCTCTTCCCCCACCCTCTCCTGCCTCTTCTTCTTTGCCTCTTCTTGTCAATCTCTCATCTTCCCTCCTTTCCCTCCTTTCTCTTCCTCTTGCCCTCCCTCCTCCTTTTCCTCTTCCCTCTCCTCTTCTTTCCCCTTCTTCTCCCCTTCCTCCTCTTCCACCTCCGTCTCTCCCCCCACCCTCTCCCTCTTTCGGGCACCTGAGAATGGTCATAGCATGGGTATGGTAAGCCTGGGTGCATGTGAAAGGGAGATGATGATGGCGTGGAGGGTGGCCAAGATGCAGTGCCTCATCACACCGCTCAGCCCGCAAGTCATCATTGTGGAAGAAGAAGCGGCTGAGGTGCTGGAAGCCCACATTCTCACCTCGCTCACCCCACAGACACAACATGTTATTCTGATCAGTACGTCATGGGCTGTGGCCTATTGCTACTTCTAAAGCCGTGTCAAGGCCACGATGCACATGAGTGCATCCCCATGGACAACCTGCAGCTGCGGCCTAAGGTGGAGATGCACTCTCTTGGTAACCACCCCACCCACCCACACCCACCCATCTATTGCCTCCTTTGCCCATATTCAACAGGCGACCACCTACAGCTGCGGCCCAAGGTGGAGGTCTACGAGCTGAGCAAGGACTCACCAGAGTCCTCCACTCATTCCCTGCCCATTCATGTGCTTCTTACACTTGATTACTTCAGGCGACCACCTACAGCTGCGGCCCAAGGTGGAGGTCTACGAGCTGAGCAAGGACTCCCACAAGGGCTTCGACCTGGACGTGTCTCTCTTTGAGCGCCTGGCACTCTCCCGGCAGATTCCCGTGTACACCCTCGCCACACAGCGCCGCATGCGCCCCGAGATTGCCGACCTCATCCGCCACACCATCTACCCCGACCTTAGGGACCACCCGTTCGTGCAAGGGTACGGTATGGTTGCTTAAGTAACGGGCTTGTTTCTGACAGGTGAGGCTTCTCCTCCTATTGGGACATGCCTGTTGTCCCAGTGCCCTCGGTGTCGCCCTTGGCTTCTCCCCCTGGGCTGAGCAAGGCGCTCTCCCGGCACATCCCCGTGTACACCCTCGCCACTCAGCGCCGCATGCGCACCGAGTTTGCTGACCTTATTCGCCACACCATCTACCCCGACCTTAGAGACCATCCGTTTGTCCTTGGGTACGGTATGGTAACGTCAAGGTGACTACTTGTTTCTGACAAGTGAGGCTTCTTCCTTTCGGGACATGCCTGTTTTCCCAGTGCCCTCGCTCGTTGCATGCTTGGCTTCTTCTCTTTGAGTGCCTCGCGCTCTCCTCGCGCCACACCATCTACCCCGACCTGAGGGACCACCCGTTTGTGCAAGGGTATGTACCATGCGTATGTGCTTTTAAGGTGTGTGTTGTCCTAATAGTTCTCACATAGCTCCCTCCCTCACTCCCTCACTCACTCCCTCGCTCACTCACTCACTCCCTCGCTCACTCCCTCCATCGCTCCCTCCTTCCATCCCTCGTCCCCTTCCTCCTCCCCTCCCTTCTCCCCTCCCTCCCTCCCTCCCTCTCCCCCACCCCTCCCTCCCTTCCCCCACTTCCCCCTTCCTCCCTCTCTCCCTTCTCCCGCCCGCTTCCCCCCTCCCCCGCCCCCCAGGTACCCAGACATGAGGGGCATGGCGGCCAATCTCCATTTCTGGGACCACAGCTTTCCTGAAACTGGCGGGGACGACCTGAGGGAGGGCAAGTCCAAGTCCAACACGGGCGAGGCAGCCATGGTGGTGGCGCTCGCCACGTACCTGCTGCAGCAGGGGTACACGGGAGGGGAAGTCACCATCCTCACGCCGTATGTCGGGCAGCTGCTGAAGCTGCGCCAGGCACTTTCTCAGGTGGTGAACGTTCGTCTTGGGGAGGGGGATGCGGAGGTGGTGGAGGAGGCAGAGGAGAAGGCGGCTGCTAGGGAAGGTGCAACTGGGGAAGGTGGATCCGGGGGGGAGGAGGCTACTGGGGTGGGGAAGGGGAAGGGGTTGGGGCTGGAGTTTGCTGCGCCTAAGGCGGTCACGGCGAATCTGAAGGATGCGGTTCGGCTGGCCACTGTTGACAAGTGAGTTTTTTTCAGAAGCAGGATCCAGTGGAAGGGAAGGGGCGGGGGAAGGGGCTTGGGATGGGGCTGGGGAAGGTTCTGGGGAAGGGGCAGGGGACGGGGCAGGGGAAGGGGCAGGGGAAGGGACTGGGGTAAGGGGCTGGCGGAAGGTGCTGAGCAAGGGACAGCAGAAGGGGCTGGGGAAGGGGCAGGGGAAGCAGCAGGGAAAAGGGCTTGGGGTTGGAGGTTGCTGGATCTGGTTTGTTCAGTTGGCCTCTTTGGACCAGTAAGTGTGTGGCTGGAACAGTATGGATGGCTAGTATGGAGCAGCAGAGAGGAGGAACGGGCTGCTGAATTGTCTTGTTTTTCCATGTGTATGTGCGATGACATATGTGTGATGACGTATTTGTGGTGATGTATGTGTGTGCAGTTTCCAGGGCGAGGAGAGCACGGTGATAATCATCTCTCTCGTGCGCAACAGCAAGGAGAGCAGGTCTTGGTTTTCCCAAGATTTCGAATGTGTGTCCTTCCTCCAACTTTCTGATGTGCGTGCAGTTTCCAAGGCGAGGAGAGCACGGTAATTATCATCTCCCTCGTGCGCACCAACAGGTTCTCGTTTGCCCCGACAGTTTTTGAAGATGTTTTCTTCCTCCTCCCAACTTTCTGTTTTGCCAATGTGCAGCTTCCAGGGCGAGGAGAGCACGGTGATCATAATCTCTCTCGTGCGCAACAACATGGATGGCAAGATTGGTTTCCTCAAGAGCCCCAACCGCACCAACGTGCTGCTGTCCCGCGCCAAGCATGGCATGTACATCATCGGTGAGTGCACGGCGGGAGAAAATATGCGCACACACGGTATACTGATTTTGATTAATCCCAAAGATCGCTTGCATTGCTGGTAAGTCTGCGCCAAGCATGGCATGTACATCATTGGCGAGTTGTATGCGTGATGTGATGTGATGATGATGGGTACTGTGGATATAGCACCAAGCACCAACGTGCATCCAGCACCAATGTGCTGCTCTCCCGTGTCAAGCATGGCACCATGAGGGGGGCGGCTACTTTCAAGAAGGACTCGTTTGAAAACACAATCCGAAAAGACCCTGCAAGGGCGTGTTGTGTCCGTGAAATGCGACAGATTAGTGGGTTGTGAAATGCGACCATGCCACAGATTAGTGGGTATGCTGAGCGGTTTGTTTTGCTGCGCTGGTTAGTCAACTTTCTCCACATTCCCTGTCCTCTTCTCCCTCTCCCATCTCCGTTGTCTTCTATTTCCCCCTTCTCCTTTCTCCCTCGCTTCGCCCATCACCCATCTCCAACCTGCGAGCAGGCAACGCCAACACCATGCGGGCTGCTACCTCCAAGTCGGTCCTCTGGCCGAAAATAATGGACATGCTGGACAGCAACGGGCACGTGCAGCAGTTCATCCCGCTGCGCTGTGTGAACCACCCGGACACGGTGACGCACATTGAGAGGGCGGGCGAGTTCAAGGAGAAGGCCAGCGAGGGCGGATGCTCCCAGATGTGCGGCTTTCGGCTCACTCCCTGCGGCCACACCTGCCCCCGCAGGTCAGAGAACACATGCATGCATTCTATGCAGCTACTGTCTACTGTCTGCAAGTTTGCATCCAACTGTTCATGCTTCCAGGCTCGGAAGCGGAGATCTATCTTCTTCTAAGGAGGGTTTCATGATCGTTATCTTCCTTCGTGCACCCGACAGGTGTCATGGCGACGACAGGGCGCACGCGAATGCGTTCTGCCTCAATAGTGCAACCGCTTTCGCCCCCTGGAGGAGTGCCCGTGTATGTACCAGCACACGCACAAACTAGAAACCCTCTCCTCCATCCTTCACCCGACAGGTGCCATGGCGATGACAGGGCACATGCCAATGCGTTCTGCCCCAAGGAGTGCAACCGCATCCGCCCCCTGGAGGAGTGGCCTTGCCACTACGCATGTCCTAAAAATCTCACAAATATATCCTTTCTGGTCTCTGATCCTTGTCCCACAGGTGTCATGGCGACGACAGGGCACATGCCAATGCGTTCTGCCCCAAGGAGTGCAACCGCATCCGCTCTCTTGAAGAGTGTCCTCACCAACACACGTGCCCGAAGCAGTGTGGCGAGAACTGTGGTCCCTGCCTTGTCACCATCAAGGCACTCACACTCCCCTGCGGCCATCAGGCCTTCAACGTGCCCTGCTTCAAGGCTCAGAAACCGGCTTCCATCTTCTGCTCGTGAGTTTTTTTTCAAGCACCATTCTCTACTAGGCGGTCTTTGGGAAATCTCAAAACCTCTCCAATACAGGCATCAGGCCTTCACTGTCCCGAAATTTCAAGGCTCAGAATCCCTCTTCTTTCTTCTGCTCATCCGGTTGGCACCTGTCTCCCAATGTTTCCCCCCAATGTTGAACTCTTTGGCTGTTTCTCCCCCTTGGCTCACTGTGGGATTCTCAGATTATTATGTCTGTTTTCGTTGCTTTCCCCACTTCGCAGGACGATGGTGGAGGTGACGATGCCGATGTGTGGCCACAAGCAGACAGTCAAGTGCGGCGAGGCCGCCACCAGAGTAGCCAACCCCAAGCTCTGCACCGCTCGCTGCGGCGTTCTCATGTTCACCTGTTCTGCTTCCCCCTCTTGACTTCCCACTGTGCCAGGCTATTGGTGGAGGTCACGATGCCGCTGTGCGGCCACAAGCAGACAGTCAAGGGCGGCCAGCCCTTGCTTGACAGTGTGTGGTGCTTCTCTCACACCCTTTCACTCCTCTCTCTCCCGCGCCCACCCCTCTGTGTTGCCAGATTTATGGTAGAGGTGACGATGCCACTGTGCGGGCACAAGCAGACAGTCAAGTGCGGCGAGGCCGCCACCAGAGTAGCCAACCCCAAGCTCTGCACGGCTCGCTGCGGTGTTTTCCTCTCGGATTCCTGCGGACACACCTGCATCTCTCCCTGCGGCAACTGCATCGTTGCTCCAGCTGCTAACACTCCCCAGGGGCGTGGCTTGCAGCAGCAGCAGCAGCAGCAGCAGCTGGAGAAAAACCACAAGAAGTGCACGCAGCCATGCGCGCGCCCGCTCCCCTGCGCCCACCTCTGCCCCGACCCCTGCCACAGCGGCAAACCCTGCAAGCCCTGCACCAAAAAGTGCCTCGTGGCCTGCCAGCACAGCTCCTGCCCCCAACCCTGCCACCGAACCTGCGCGCCCTGCGCCGAGCCTTGCGGGTGGCACTGCAAGCACCAGGGTCGGTGCTCGCTCCCCTGCGGCGGCCCCTGCGACCGCCTCCCATGCGAGCAGCGGTGCGAGAAGAAGCTCCCATGCGGCCACCAGTGCCCCTCCCTCTGCTCCGAAAAATGCCCTCCAAAGGCGTTTTGCACGGTTGAAGGGTGTGGAGAGGAGCAGAAGAGGGAAATGACCGTGGATCTAGTCACACTGGAGACCCTAGGGGAGATCGATCCAAATGAGAGCCCTGTGCTCGTGCTGCCGTGCGGTCATGCCTACACAGTGGAGACTTTAGATGGCCATCTGGGTCTGAACCAGGTGTACCAAGAGGCAGAAGGTGGGTCTGCTGGTGGCAGCAGTACGTCTGGAGGCGGGGCAGGAGGCGGAGCAGGAGGCGGGGCAGGAGGCGGGGCAGGAGGCGGGGCTGGTGGTAGGTCAGAAGCAGCTGCAGCTGCACCCAAGTGGGTGGCAGTGCGGCCGTTTGACGATGGCGGTCTGTCCGCCCTCAAGGGCTGCCCGGAGTGCCGCCAGCCAATCACAGGGCTGCGCCGGTACGGCCGGATGGTGAACAAGGCGCTGCTGGACGAATCAGAGCGCAAGTTCGCCCTCAGCTGCATGGCCGACCAGCAGCAGCTCCTGCAGAAGCTGTCCAAGCTAAGCCAAGCCATCTCTGCTTGTCCTGAGTCTGCTCAACCCCGGCAGTTGCAGGAACTGGCTAAAGCTGCGACTTTGCTGGTCGTGCAGGCAAACAAGGTGCGAGTGACTGCTATGGAACCGCCAACCCAGCAGACCTACCAGGCTTCGGTAGCTGCCCTGCAGAGGAAGCACCTCCAGCTAAGATCCTCCTCGGCTGGAGCAGCCTCGTCTGCAGATTCCCCTGAAGATTCACCTGAAGATTCACCGCCAGCATGGGAGGAGGAGTGCCAGCTGCTGTATGTGCCCCAGCCACAAACCGGGCCGCTATGCGAAGCCCTGCTGCTGCTGGGGAAAGCCTATCAGCTTCTCATGACTGCCAATTTCCTCCAGCTGCGCTGCCTGCTGACTGAACTTCGCAAGCTGTCTCGCCAGACTGCTACTCGAGCTGCTGGGCTGACTGCTGGTCTGGCAGCTGGTCTGGCTGCTGGCCAGACTGATAAGAACAGCAGGGGTAGAGAGGAGTTTCTGGCTCGCAAGTTGAAGAGCTGCCGGGAGGTTGTGCAGAAGGCGCTGCAGAATGCGGAGAGGCATGTGGGGGAGGCGGTGGAGTGGGCTGGCAAGCGCAGGGCGCCTCGGCTGGAGGCGAGAGGGAGGCTGGAGATGGCTGATGTGTTCCGTGCGTTAGTGGAAGGGATGATGGTGGAACGCCTGCTCTCAACCTCTCCTGCTGGCCTGGTAAGAACGCTGTTTTTTGTACACTCCTGTCTTATTCTAATTGGAAGTTGACTATAAACGTGAGGGCGAGGCTGGTGGAGCTGGCTGCCGTGGTCTGTGCATTTGTGGAACAGACAGGCGGAACTCCTGCTGAGAACGCCTGCTGTCTAGCTCCCCTGCTGGCCTGCTGAGAAAACTGGACTGCTCTTGTCCTCGTCTGCCTCTCTTCTACCACCCTCCCCTGCTTAACCCCTCTCCCCGCTCCCCGTCCCTGCCTGATGGGTCATGGTGGTTTACTGGTGCACCTTGTGTGGCAGGACGCATCAAAGGAGCAGCAGCTGGAGTATCTAGAGAGAGCCAAGATGCTGTGCCACATGGTGGCCTCACACCAGCTGGTGTCAGTCCGAGAGAACGAGAGCCTGGGGGTGAGCGCTCGGAGAATGCTCGAGAAAGACTTGCGTGAGCTGGAGCAATCCGTTCGCGACGAACCTCGGTACTTTGCTGTGACCGAACGTGAGAAGGCTGATGTGTTTGAGGCAATAGGCTTGAGAGGGAGTCATTGGTACCGATGCCCCAATGGGCATGTGTATGTCATCGGGGACTGTGGTATGGCAATGCAAGAGTCGTGGTGCCCTGAGTGTGGTGCGGCTGTGGGTGGGGGAAGCCATAGGCTTAGAGCAGATAATACGTCTGCCACTGGTTTCTTTAGCAGGTCCTGAGATCTTGGTACCGTAGATCTTGGGCTTCTAATGTTCTGGTATGGGGATTTCTTCTGCTACCTAAAGCTGATTGCCTTTGATGATGTGCCTGCTGTGCATGTATTTTCGAATTCTGTTTCCCTCAAAATACCCTACACTAGTCTGTAGAATTACATGGTGCTTATCAAAAGTGGTTTGCCCTGACAGGCACGGAATTTATAACGCAGGAGGGACAGCCGTTACGGTCCTTTGCTCTGGGTTTCTGATTTCTGGACACCCTGCGCATCGGGGCATCGATCAATCGAGTCATTGGGTTTTCGAGTACTCCCTAGCTTTGAAGCTTAGCTGGTTCTCCCTTCTAAAGGGAGCTACGTTGCCATCCGACGTTGAACAAAAACAAAACAAGAGCCAAATGGGGGAGTGGCCTCAGTTTCCGTACCTCATCCTAGCCGAAGGTAGGGTAAAGGCCGTATCCGGCGCTCATAACCAGCTCCACGAGTGGCTGGCTGTTTTTCAAAAGCAACAGAAGCAACCGTACATACATGTCAAGGCTTACGGCGGGTCCAAATGGTACATCCGAATGCGGTTGAAAAGGTTTTAGACTTGACCCAGAGCGGTCCAAATAAAAATCATCTTGGTTGGGTAGGGTTTTCTGCTAAAACGTACATCCTTTGACCCGCCCTTCGGCGAAGTAAACGTCATGCTGAATGATAGTAGTGCCTCATCCACACAACCCAACAGGAATAGCTCGGGCAAGGCTGGACAAGCACAAGCGTTTTTTGAATTGTGTGACACTGGGATAGCACATTGGTCGGTAGAAGCTATTAGTTGTTAGTACCGTGCAGCTGTTACTTTTTGTCACACACCGAAGACCTACGACCACCAACACGAGCGCTTATAGAGTGCAAGTTAATGTTTAAGAGTATGATGCGGCACGGGTATGAGTTTTGCGCATTTCGACGCGCTTAAGTTATGCAAGAACGCAGCATTGTCTTCTTTTGCCATGTTTCTAAAACCGCGTCTTTCGCCTTGCGTATATCAAACTCTCGTTAGCTAAGACGTCCTTCTTTAAGAGCAACCATTGTCAGCTTTTGAACCTTTTGATGCTATTTTCCAAGAACCAGTGACGGTTTACTACTTTGGAGTTACCATGGACCGTTACGACGACGACGACGACGATGGCGACGTTTCGCCGGAAGCGTGGGACGTGCGACCGCCGGTATCCGGGAGTCACGGAAAACCCGGAAGGACGCGGGATAGCAAGGACAAGGCCGGGCGGGTGACAGGGTCTATCAGTGATAAGTCGAGCGAAAGGTCTAGCGAAAGCGGTCGCGGAAAGGATAGGGACAGAGATAGGGAGAGGGATAGGGATCGAGTTAGGGATAAGGACAGGGACAGAGACAGACACAGGGACAGGGACAGGGATAGGGATAGGGATAGGGATAGGGATAGGGATAGGGATAGAGCTAAGGATAGGGATAAGGAGTATAGGAGAAGCAGCGGCAGCCGCGACAGGGACAGGGACGAAGAGAGAGAGCGCGAGAGGGTGAGAGATAGAGATTCTAAGGATAAAGTTAGGGATAGGGATCGTTATCGGGACGGAGATAGGGACAGGGACAGAGACAGGGATAGGGACAGAGAAAGGGAGAGGACGCGAGAGAGGGTAGACCGATTCGAGGGGGATCGCGACGGCAGTCGGGACAGAGAACGGAGAGAGAGGGAAGGGAAGGACCGGGAAAGGCGAGACAGGGATAAGGATAGGGAACGGGAGCGAGGCAGGGATAGGGATTATGTGGTGAAGGATAGGGATAGGGAACGGAAGAGCGATAGAGTGAGGGAGCGGGAGAGAGACAGGGACGGAGAGAGGGAAAGAGAGAGGGAAGGCCGGAGAGAGAAGGAGCGGGATCGACCCAAGGACAGGGACAGAGATAGAGAGAGGGAAAGGGAGAGAGATAGGGAGAGAGAGAGGGAGAGGGAGAGGGAAAGGAGGCACGGAGAAGCAGGGAAGGAGGGGAGGAGTTCCGGCCGGCACGGCGTGCCGTCATGCTCATCTATGGAGGAGCGCGGATCGCAGGTGAGGCTTGCGGGTGGTTGTGACTTTTGAGACGTTGGGAGAGGAGGCACGGGGAAGCAGGGAAGGAGGGGAGGAGTTCCGGCAGGCATGGCGTACCGTCGTGCTCGTCGATGGAGGAGCGCGGATCGCAGATGAGCCTTGCAGGTGGTTGTGTAGAGAAACGACTCAAAGGCTTGAGAATTCTGACACGACTCACAGGTGAGCACAGGTCGCAAATGACCATAAATCGCAGTTGAGACTTGCAGCAGTGACTCAAGCGGGCAATGCAGCCATCGGTGCTACACACTCCCCTTCCGTCTCATCTCTCGCACTCCCTTGCTCCCTTGCTCCTTTGCCTCCTTGCTCCCTTGCTTCCCCCCACCCACAAAGGCACGCTGGCCGCACGTCGAGTACCAAAAGTGACTCAAGCAGGCGTCCCCCCCACTTCCCCGCTTCCCCCCTCCCCTTTCCTTCCCCTCCACCCCGCCCCATCCCCCCTCCACCCCTCCCCTTCTCCCCTCCCACAGAGGCACGCCAGCCGCACATCGAGCACCAAAAGTGACTCAAGCAGGCGTTCTAGTAGGGGGCGAGACCACCACGAGGCGAGAGAGCCCTATGAGGATGACTATAGAGGGGGGTCGCATGGGGGAAGCAGGAAGGCCGGCGGGTCGATCGGGGGAGGAAAGTCAGGCAATCGGGGGAACAGAGGTGGCCGAGGAGACGATCTGTCGCCAACAGACTCCTCACCTGAGCATTCACCTGAACATTCACCTGAACGGTCTCCTGTCCGATCCTCTCACCGATCCCCGGACCGGCAGTCAGACCACTCTCCCATCAGTTCCCCTGGCCAATCGTCTCCCGTGCGCTCCTCTCACCGTTCCTCCAACCGGTCCCCGAACCTAACCCCGGACCTCACGCCTGACCAAACCCCGGAGCACTCGCCGAACCAGACACCGGACATGTCTCCGAGCCACCGAGGTATGGAAGAGGAGGGTTACTCCCCCTCTGCCCAGCACCAGCAGCAGCAGCAGCAGCAGCAGCAGCAGCAGCAGCAGCAGGCTTATCCTTATTCTCCGCATATTTCCCCTTCGTCTCCTGACGCGTTCTCTTTCAGAGCATCAGGAGCATCAGGAGCATCAGGAGCATCAGGAGCATCAGGAGCATCAGGAGCATCAGGAGCAGGGGGGCAGGCAGGGGGGAGAGGGGGAGCACGAGGGGACGAAGGAGGAATAGGAGGAGGAGGAGGGGCTGGGGGATTCGGTGCATCTTCACTTCCTCTGATGGTAGCTGGGGCTGTGATGGCCGGTCCTGGTAGGGTGGCTGTGCCTGCTGTCCGTCCCAGCAACCGCACTCCGTTGAGAACACCTGTGGATTCACCTGAGATTTCACCTGCGGGCTCCCCTCAAGGGTCGCTGTACCAAGCCTCGGTGCTAGGCTCGGGAGAGGACTACCCGTACCACCAAGGCTCGGAGTCGTCCGAACCTGGTCAGCAGGAATGGCACATGGGTGCTGGTGGGGAGTCGTATCAACACCATCATCAACATTCCCGCAAGTCACCACCAACTGCAGCAGCAGCAGGAATGGCCGTGGGAGGTTATGGTGGTAAACCTATTGGTGGTAACAGGCGTGCTGGTAACCCCAGAGGCAGCAGCTCTGGTGCGGCTGTAGCAGCAGCGGCTTTCCCCAAGTCCCAGTCCACCCCTGGCGGGCCAAGGGACTTGGCTGTAGCGGGGACAGGCAGGAGAAGCAGGAGGGATAGCGGTGGCGGCAGCAGCAGTGGTGGCAGCAGGAGGGGGAGCAGGGGAGGTGGGGGGGAGAGTGGTGCAAGTGGAGGGGGGTTTGAGGAGGGGTGGGTGAGAGAAGTGCATAGCGAAGGGGAGGAGTTTTCAGAAGGAGGAGGAAGAGGAGGAAGAGGAGGAAGAGGAAGAAGAGGAGGAAGAGGAGGAAGAGGAGGAGGAGGAAGAGGAGGAGGAGGAAGAGGAGGAAGAAGGGGAAGGGGGAGAGGATGATGATGTGTATTACGAGTCGAAGGTGTTGGGGGATGAACCCATCTCACGGCGGCGAGTGGTGGAGCTGCTGGATCAGGTACGATGGCACATTATGAACGTGGCCAGTAGGGGATGACCAGGTATTTGCCTTTACAGGTGTCGTTCGGTCACTTGCAGTCCGTTGCCCGCGTGTTGGGGGATGATCCCATCTCACGGCGGCGAGTGGTGGAGCTGCTGGATCAGGTACGCTAGCATTCACAGAAAAGGGGGCGCACTTTGTGACCTTTGAGTCGACTTAGAAGTCAAAGGTGTTTGGGGGATGAGCCCGTCTCACGGCGGCGAGTGGTGGAGCTGGTGGATCAGGTACGCTGGCATATGATGAACGCGGCCAGTGGGGGCTGATGACCAGGTACTGACTACCGCTGCTGAATGCACGTGAGGGCGCTGCTGCTGGAGGCTCTAAGTGATGTGAGACCCCACAAGTGTTTGTCCTCCATGCTCCCCTCTCGCAGATGGACGCGTTCATAGAGGAGGGGCCGCACTGCAAGCTGGACGAGTACCTGCCGGCCAGCTACCCATCGACCTGCTGCTTCCCACGCCCTGAATGTTGCCCCGAGCCCCCCTTCTCTGCCCCATTCCTCCCCGTCCACCTCTCTTCCTTCCTCTCAGATGGACGCGTTCATAGAGGAGGGGCCGCACTGCAAGCTGGACGAGTACCTGCCGGCCATCCACCTGCTGCTGCTAATGGTGCTTGTCCCTGTGATTTCCAACTCCCTGTCTCCTCTTCCTCTATCCTCTATCCCTCCCACCCTCGCAGATGGACGCGTTCATAGAGGAGGGGCCGCACTGCAAGCTGGACGAGTACCTGCCGGCCATCGACCTGCTACTTCCTTCCCACGCCCTGTATCATGCCCGAACTCCCCGTCTCTGCTCCAATCTTCCCCTCTCCCCTCCCTTTAAGCAGATGGACGCGTTCATAGAGGAGGGCCCGCACTGCAAGCTGGACGAGTACCTTCCGGCCATTGATCTGCTGCTCAGCGTGCGGGCGCTGCTGCTGGAGGCGAGGGACAAGGAGACGGGGCGGCGCGCGGATGGCATGCTCCGGCGGGCCATGGAGGACCTGGAATACGAGTTCAGGGACATTCTTTCACGACGGAGGTGAGGAGCTCTCAGCTCTGTATGTCATAAGCCAATCCCACCGCACAGAATGCTCCCCGGGCCATGGAGGACCTGGAGTACGAGTTCAGAGACATCCTGTCAAGACGAAGGTGAGGTTCATTGACCTACTGCTCAGCGTGAGAGCGCTGCTGCTGGAGGCGAGGGACAAGGAGACGGGGCGGCGCGCGGATGGCATGCTCCGGCGGGCCATGGAGGACCTGGAATACGAGTTCAGAGACATCCTGTCGAGACGCAGGTGAGGTCTGGCTTGCCAAGGCTAGTCAGCACTTTTCATTTCTACATGTTCGCTATGGAGGACCTGGAGTACGAGTTCAGGGGCATTCTGTCGAGGCGCAGGTGAGGACTGGCTTGCCAAGGCTAGTCAGCACTCTTTTCATTTCCACATGTTCGCTATGGAGGTCCTGGAGTACGAGTTCAGGGGCATCCCGTAAAAACGGAGGTGAGGCTTTGTTGGTACTTTGCCGAGACGGAAGTGTGGTCTCTTGCAGTCAGCTGTCAACACCCTTGCCGGCATGCTCCGGCGGGCCATGGAGGACCTGGAGTACGAGTTCAGGGACATTCTTTCGAGACGGAGGTGAGGCTTTGTGCTCCTAGCTTGGCTTGGCTTGTAACTCGCTGCTGCTGTAGCTGGCTTGGCTTGTGGTGTGTGTTCTCTACAAGGCATGCTTCGACGGGCCATGGAGGACCTGGAGTGCGAGTTCAGGGGCATCCTGTCAAGACGGAGGTGAGGACTGGCTTGCCAAGGCTAGTCAGCACTCTTTTCATTTCAACATGTTCGCTATGGAGGACCTGGAGTACGAGTTCAGGGACATTCTGTCGAGACGGAGGTGAGGAGTCCTGCTGCTGCTGCTGCTGCTGCTGCTACTGTCTTGTCCCTGCACCCCTATTTTTCTTTGCCTTTAACGCCCCATTCTCCGTCCCCATCGCTCCGTTTTCCCCTTTCCCCGAACGCCAGCCAGCAGGCATCGACTCGCTTCACTGTGGACACTCTCTCCCGCATCTTCCAACGCAACTTCTACCCGCCTGCCACCACCACCACCACTTCTGCTGCTGCAGCTGCCGCCACCAGCAGCGCCAGCACCAGCAGCAGCTCCCCTGAGAGCGGCGTGACAGGGGGCACCAGCGCCAGCAGTAGCAGGAACAGCACAGGGGGAGTGGGAGGCGGGGGAGGGGTAGGGGGAGGGATAGGGGGAGGGGGCGGAGGTGATGGTGTTGTGGGCGCGGAGGGGATGGGGGGGCTGGATGATGCGGATTCGCTGCATGTGCTGCCAGAGATTGCTGCCCGGTGGTTGAACCAGACGGCCGCCCGGCTGGTGGCGGGCGGGGAGAGCGTGCGCTGCGTGGAGGCCTTCAGGTGGGCTCAGGTGGAGTCAGGTGAACACAGGTGGTCTCAGGTGGAGTCAGGTGAACACAGGTGGGCTCAGGTGAACACAGTTGGGCTCAGGTGAATTTTCAAGCTGTTTTAGATGAGCTCAATGCGTTCAAGTGGATTCGGCGGCTCTTTCCCTCTCTTCTTCCCCCGCACGTGCAGGTCGGTGCGGGTGGACTGGACTAAGGTGACTTTTGAGTCAACTTTACACACATACTCCCTACCCTCTTGCAACTCTCACCCCCCGCACGTGCAGGTCGGTGCGGGTGGACTGGACTGCAGCGGCTGGAGAGCGGGAGACCGTGGATAGTGGCGACGGCAGGGCAGGGCAGGCAGATTGCTATCCCACAGCAGGGCAGATCGCACACATACTCCCTACCCTCTTGCACCTCTCACCCCCGCACGTGCAGGTCGGTGCGAGTGGACAGCCTGAAATCTGCACTGCAGCGGCTGGAGAGCGAGAGGCCGTGGATGGTGACGGCAGGGCAGATGGCAGACTTGCCCTCCCTCCCTCTACTCTGTCCTCCTCTCCCACGCCTCTACCCTCCCCACATGTCCATTCAGGTCTGTGCGGGTGGACAGCCTGAAATCCGCTCTGCAGAGGCTAGAGAGCGAGAGGCCGTGGATGGTGACAGCAGGGCAGATCGCAGACATGCCATGGGCGGAATTGGAGCCGCTCAGCAAGCAGTGGACTCAGGATATGTACATTCTGGTGCGGAGAGGGGTGCTGGGTGGTGGTGTGTGGTGCTGCATGGTGGTTGGTTGTTGTGGGTGGTGATTGGTCCTTAAAACATGCCATGGGCGGAACTGGAGCCGCTGAGCAAGCAGTGGACTCAGGATATGTACATTCTGGTGCGGAGAGGGGTGCTGGGTGGTGGTGTGTGGTGCTGCATGGTGGTTGGTTGTTGTGGGTGGTGATTGGTCCTGTAAAAATGCCATGGGCGGAACTGGAGCCGCTGAGCAAGCAGTGGACTCAGGATATGTACATTCTGGTGCGGAGAGGGGTGCTGGGTGGTGGTGTGTGGTGCTGCATGGTGGTTGGTTGTTGTGGGTGGTGATTGGTCCTGTAAATATGCCATGGGCGGAACTGGAGCCGCTGAGCAAGCAGTGGACTCAGGATATGTACATTCTGGTGCGGAGAGGGGTGCTGGGTGGTGGTGTGTGGTGCTGCATGGTGGTTGGTTGTTGTGGGTGGTGATTGGTCCTTTAAACATGCCATGGGCGGAGCTGGAGCCGCTGAGCCAGCAGTGGACTCAGGATATGTACATTCTGGTGCGGAGAGGGGTGCTGGGTGGTGGTGTGTGGTGCTGCATGGTGGTTGGTTGTTGTGGGTGGTGATTGGTCCTGTAAAAATGCCATGGGCGGAACTGGAGCCGCTGAGCAAGCAGTGGACTCAGGATATGTACATTCTGGTGCGGAGAGGGGTGCTGGGTGGTGGTGTGTGGTGCTGCATGGTGGTTGGTTGTTGTGGGTGGTGATTGGTCCTGTAAATATGCCATGGGCGGAACTGGAGCCGCTGAGCAAGCAGTGGACTCAGGATATGTACATTCTGGTGCGGAGAGGGGTGCTGGGTGGTGGTGTGTGGTGCTGCATGGTGGTTGGTTGTTGTGGGTGGTGATTGGTCCTTTAAACATGCCATGGGCGGAGCTGGAGCCGCTGAGCCAGCAGTGGACTCAGGATATGTACATTCTGGTGCGGAGAGGGGTGCTGGGTGGTGGTGTGTGGTGCTGCATGGTGGTTGGTTGTTGTGGGTGGTGATTGATCCTTTAAACATGCCATGGGCGGAGCTGGAGCCGCTGAGCCAGCAGTGGACTCAGGATATGTACATTCTGGTGCGGAGAGGGGTGCTGGGTGGTGGTGTGTGGTGCTGCATGGTGGTTGGTTGTTGTGGGTGGTGATTGGTCCTTTAAACATGCCATGGGCGGAGCTGGAGCGGCTGAGCCAGCAGTGGACTCAGGATATGTACATTCTGGTGAGTGTGAGTCTGTGGTGGTGTGTGGTGGTATGTGGTGGTGGTGTGTGGTGGTGTTGTGTGGTGGTGGGTGGGTGGTGGGTGGTGAGTGGTGCCTCTGAGCCAGCAGTGGACGCATGATATGTACCTCCTGGTGCGGAGAGGTATGCTGGGTGGTGGTGGGTGGTGGTGGTGTGTGGTGCTGGGTGGTGGGACTGGGCTCTGAGGTCGAATCATAAGCCGCCTCCCTCCCCTTCCTCTCACTCCACTTCTCTCCCCTTCACTCCCCTCCTCCCGTCCTTCCCCCTTCCTCTGCCCAGGGTCGTCTGCTACTGGGCATGGAGAGGAGGACAGCAGCGGCGGTGTGGCGAGGCATGCAGGTCAGAGAGTGGAGAGTGCATGTGAGCGGGTGATGAAAGTGAAATTGGGTTGCTGAGCGTGTGGAGTAGAATAGGGGCATACATGTCTAGAGAGGTTGGAGAGGCAATGCGGGGGGCAGGGGGGTGGAAACTTATTCCCCTGGTAAGTTTGCAGAAGGGGGAGAGGCCATGCAGGGGCATGGGAGTAGGGAGTGCCTGAGCAAGCAGCATACGGTGCAGCGTTAGTGGCATGGGCAAGCACAAAGCAGATCACGCCTGGTTCTCCCTCTCGTTCCTCTCATGACAAATTACCCCATGATGTGCCTTACTTGCTGTACGCTTTTCTCAGGTGCACGGGCGCGGGGCGCTGAGCGGCTGAGGGCCATACTGAAGGACAGCTGAATGGGCAAGCACATGGCAGAGCACGCCTTGATCCTCTGCACACCCCACTATATTCCCCTACACCTCTTCCAATCCTCTTTGCTCTTTCTTCTCAGGTGCATGAGCGCGGGGCGCTGAGGGCTATCCTGGAGGACAGCGGCATGGGCAAGCGCATAGCAGAACACGCGTTGATTCTCCGCACCATCATTGCCCGCAACCCCCCTTCCTTTCCCCTCCCTCCCTCCCTCAGGTGCATGAACGGGGAGCGCTGAGGGCTATCCTGGAGGACAGCGGCATGGGCAAGCGCATAGCGGAGCATGCTCTGATCCTCCTCGCCATCATCGCCCGCAACCTGCCCGAACAACTCTTCTCGCTGCTCGATGCTTTTCGGGCAGCCCAAGAAGTCATGCCAGAGGTAAGTAGTCCGAATCACTCCGTCTTGTCATTTGAGGCGCCTCGAAAGTCGCTTCATGTCTCGTGCTTTTGAGGTGCCCCAAAACTATTCTCGCTGCCCCGATGCCTTCCGTGCAGCACCAGAAGTCATGCCAGAGGTAAGCCTGAATCACTTCCCCTTGTCTCACTCTCCTCTCTCTCCAATCATCCTCATCATCACAACCCTGCTCTCTGCTCTCCCACCTGTTCCCCCCTGCCCTGTTCCAGCTCTCAGCAACGTTCAATCTGCTCAAGATGGAGGCGGTGTGGCCGGCCCGCCAGCATCTCCCGCTGCTCATCGCGCGGGCAGTCGCCGACGCCTTTGATCGCTTCACCTCCTTGAAACCTCCACCAAGTCTCATTCTTCTGTCTTGTTGTTTCTCCACCCCTTTTTTGCTCCTCCAGCTATCCGCCACGTTCAATCTGCTCAAGATGGAAGCAGTGTGGCCGGCCTGCCAGCACCTCCCTCTCCTCATCGCCTCTCTCAACCCCCTCCTGCGCACTGCTGCTAACCCCAACCAACCCCCCTGCCATGCTCCCCCAGCTATCCGCAACGTTCAATCTGCTCAAGATGGAGGCTGTATGGCCAGCCTGCCAGCACCTCCCTCTCCTCATAGCACGTGCAGTGGCCGACACCTTTGACCGCTTCAAAGCCCTCCTAGAGACCTGCTCTCTTCCTGCTCCACTGTCTCCGTTTCTCTGTTTCCGTCTCTCTCTCCCCCACTTGTGTCCAGCTCACAGCAACGTTCAATCTGCTCAAGATGGAGGCGGTGTGGCCGGCCTGCCAGCACCTCCCACTGCTCATTGTCCCAGTCACCCTCACCAACCCCTACTCCCCGCTCCCCCACTTGTGTCCAGCTCTCAGCCACGTTCAATCTGCTCAAGATGGAGGCCGTGTGGCCGGCCTGCCAGCATCTCCCGCTGCTTATCGCGCGTGCAGTGGCCGACACATTCGACCGCTTCAAAGCCCTCCTAGAGACCTCCACCAAGTCCGCCCAGGCCATGGCTGCTGCCTCCTTTCCCCCGCTTCTCACACCACCCCCTCCCCAACCGCATTCCCCACCCCACCCTGCTCCCATGCTGCCTTTTCTCCCTCTCTCCCTCACCAGCTCTCAGCAACGTTCAATCTGCTCAAGATGGAAGCGGTGTGGCCGGCCTGCCAGCACCTCCCTCTCCTCATAGCACGTGCAGTGGCCGACACCTTTTACCGCTTTAAAGCCCTCCTCGACACCTCCACCAAGTCCGCCCAGGCCATGGCTGCTGCTGCCTTTACCCCGCCCTCTCCTCTCTTCCTCACCCCCCTTTCCTCCCTTTTTCCCCCTTCCCCTTCCTTCCCCCCTCCAACTTCCCCACCCCTCCCTGCTTCCATGCCGCCTATCTTCACCCCTTCCTCTTCAGCTATCCGCCACCTTTAACCTCCTGAAGATGGAGGCGGTGTGGCCGGCCTGCCAGCACCTCCCGCTGCTCATCGCGCGGGCCGTGGCCGACACCTTTGACCGCTTCAAAGCCCTCCTAGAGACCTCCACCAAGTCCGCCCAGGCCATGGCTGCTGCTGCCCCGCCCATCTCCTCCTCCTCCTCTGCTTCCCCCTCCCCTTCGGCTTCTGGTGCTGCTGCTGCGGCTGGTGGGGAGGCAACGGGGGGTGCAGGAGGGGAGGGAGCGGAGGGGGAGAAGAAGGCTTCGCTTGCAAAGCTGTTCAGGTGGGTGCCTCTGTTTATTTCAGATGCGTGTGTAGTGCTTGTCGTTCCCTCCATCCCATTCTTCTCCATCCCTCTCTACCCCTATCCACCTCTCTCCACCCTTCCCCACCCCTCTCCACCCCTCTACATCCTCCCTCTCCACCGCAGAATGCCGTTCCTGGGCCGCAATGCGAGCACCACGTCAGCATCGCCAGCAGCGGAGGAGAGCACGCAGGACGTCATGCCGCCAGGGGGCGTGGTGGATCCAATCACCAGCTACGTGGCCAACTACATTCGCAGCTACATGCGCCGGTGCGTGCCTGTGTGTGTTAGTTGAGAGTCCACGCCCTGTATGCCGGCAGCACTGAAAGGGGAATGGTGGAACCCATCAGGTCATCCACTCACCACCAGCACAACGACTCACCACCAGCTCAACGACTCACCACCAGCTTTATGAATCACCACCAGCTCAACGACTCATCACCATCCTAACGACTCACCACCAGCCCAACGACTCACCACCAGTTCAACGACTCACCACCAGCCCAACGACTCACCACCAGCCCAACGACTCACCATCAGCTTTATGAGTCACCACCATCGCAATGGGTCACCAGCAGCTCAATGGATCACCACCAGCCCAATGAGTCACCGCCAGCCCGATGAGTCGATGGGCTGGTGAGTCGTTGGGGTGGTGATGAGTCGTTGGGGTGGTGGTGAATCGTTGGACTGGTGATGAATTGTTGGACTGGTGGTGAATGATTGGACTGGTGGTGAATCGTTGGACTGGTGGTGAATCGTTGGACTGGTGGTGAATCGTTGGACTGGTGGTGAATCGTTGGACTGGTGTTGAATCGTTGGACTGCTGGTGAATTGTTGGACTGGTGGTGAATCGTTGGACTGGTGATGAATCGTTGGACTGGTGGTGAATCGTTGGACTGGTGGTGAATCATTGAACTGGTGATGAATCATTGGACTGGTGGTGAGTCGATGGGCTGGTAAGTCGATGAGTCGCTTGCAACCCTCCTCATCCGTGTCTTTTGCCCTCCTTTCCCTTTTTCCGCCTTCCCCTTCCTCCCATTCCTATCCACTCTGTAGAGTGCCCTCCACCCACAACAGCTATCTGGACGTGCTGGCCTCGCTATTCCACCTGCTGGAGGAGCAAGGAGCAGCGAGTGATGAGGAGGAGGGGGAGGATGAGGATGGCGGAGAGAGGGATGGTGGCAAAGGGAGCAAGTCGAAGGGGGATGGGAAGGCCGGGAAGGCGGCGGGTGGGAAGGCGGACGGTGGGAAGGGAGGGGATGGGAAGTGGAAGCGAGGGGGTGGGCAGCAGCACGCGGGGCGGAGTGCGGAGAGTGAGACGGCGCACCTGCTGAGCGCGCTGGTGGTGAACCTGGAGGCACGCGGTGGGCTGTATAGAGAGGAGGAGCTGCAGCACCTATTCCTCATGAACAACACGCACTACCTCGTCCAGTCCGCGTGAGTACGAGTAATGCGCTGCCTGCTGTGCGTGAGTGCACATACATGCTTACATGTGTGTGTTGGGAGGAGCAGCTGCAGCACCTGTTTCTGATGAACAACACGCACTACTTTGGCAGTCCGCGTGAGCCGTGGTGCATGTTTATGGGTGTGCACACGAGTCGGGTACATACTGGGTTGGGAGGAGGAGCTGCAGCACCTTTTCCTCGTGCAGTCCGCGTGAGTAGGAGAGGATCAGTGTATGGGGATGTGCACGTACACATACATGCGTGCACCATGTGTGTACCGCGAGGAGGAGCTGCAGCACCTGTTCCTCATGAACAACAAGCACTCCCCCTTCCCGTATGCCCTCTGCTGCCCGCACGTGCGGCCTGGTACCGTTGGCATGTGGACAGCTCAAACCACCCGCTCTCACTCCCACTCGCTCCCTTCACGTTCCCCCTTGTCGCACCCCTGCCCCGCTGGTGTGTCCCTCTGCTTCCCACAGTGCTGACTGGTATCGCTGGCATGTGGACAGCCTGAATTACCCGCTCTCACAAGCTCGCAAGTAAGCCATCGCCCGCACCCATTGCTGCTTGCCGCTTTCTGCTTCCTCCCCCCCTGCTCGCTACTTGGAGAAAGAGCTTTCCCAGTTTTGAGGCGCCTCAACACTAGAGCTTCTCCCTTTGCCATCCCCCCCCCACTGCCTCCTAGCCTGTCGGCTCACAACCTCTCTATTCAGTCGACTCAAAAGCAGACCGCTTTTGAGTCGGCTCAAAAGCAGACCACGTGTAATGAGTCTGCTTTTTTGAGTTGACTCAAAAGCTTTTCCAGTTTTGAGGCGCCTCAACACTAGAGCTTCTCCCTTTGCCATTCCCCCCCAACTGCCTCCTAGCCTGTAGGCTCACATCACAACCTCTCTCTCCGACCATTTCTTCGTCGCTTCTCCTGCCTCTCCCGTTTTTTTATGCGCCTCAAAAGTCCGTCCTTCTTCTCATCTCTCCTCCCAAATCACTCCAGGGAGGGCGCGAGGGACCTGACAGCAGCCATGGCGGATCTGAGGGACGGCTTTTCACCCTCGTCCCTTTCCTTCTCCCTTTCCCCCCACATCCCTACCAGGGAGGGCGCGAGGGACCTCACAGCAGCCATGGCGGATCTGAGGGACGGCCACATTGTTCAGCTGCACGCCACTGCCTTCCAGAGCCGCGCGCTGGCTGCTGTGAGTGGTTAGGGAATATGGGAGGGGAGAGTGGACAGATAACAGCAGGACTTGCAGGTGAGCCTCCCCAAGGCACACCTGTTTCATCCTCTCACCCTCCCTGCCTGTCTGCCTTCCTCTCTCTCGCTCTCTCGCTCCCTGCCTGTCTCCCGCCTGCCTCTCTCCCCATTGGCCCACAGCTCATGGCACCAACCACAGATGATTCTCCCCCCGGCCGACTTGACTCGTCCGCTCACCTTCCCTGCCTTGATTCCTCCTTGTCTTGCTGCATTTCCCTCCTACCTCCCTGCCTGCATCCCCCCCATTGCCCCGCACCGCAGGTCATGGCAGCACTCACAGATGAGCCTCCCCGGGGCACACCCGACTCTGTGAAGCTCAGACTCAACAGGTAAGCCTCCTCTTTCTGAGTCGGCTTAGTAAATCAGATGAGCCTCCCCGAGGCACACCTGACTGACTCTGTTAAGCTCAGACTCAACAGGTCAGCCTCCTCTTTCTCACCTTTTCTCTTTCCTCTCCTGTTGACTCTCGACTCTCGACTCTTACTGCAACCCTCCTTCTTACTGCAGCGAGATTCCCACTGCTCTCCACCCCTTACCACCCGTCTCCACCCCCTCCACTCCTCTCATCACCGTCTCTCCATTCCATCTCGCCCTGGCTGTATGGCTTTGGTTCTGCCTTTGATTCTCATTCCATCTCGCCCTGGCTGTATGGCTTTGGTTCTGCCTTTGATTCTCATTCCATCTCGCCCTGGCTGTATGGCTTTGGTTCTGCCTTTGATTCTCATTCCATCTCGCCCTGGCTGTATGGCTTTGGTTCTGCCTTTGATTCTCATTCCATCTCGCCCTGGCTGTATGGCTTCGGTTCTGCCTTTGATTCTCATTCCATCTCGCCCTGGCTGTATGGCTTTGGTTCTGCCTTTGATTCTCATTCCATCTCGCCCTGGCTGTATGGCTTTGGTTCTGCCTTTGATTCTCATTCCATCTCGCCCTGGCTGTATGGCTTTGGTTCTGCCTTTGATTCTCATTCCATCTCGCCCTGGCTGTATGGCTTTGGTTCTGCCTTTGATTCTCATTCCATCTCGCCCTGGCTGCATGGCTTTGGTTCTGCCTTTGATTCTCATTCCATCACGCCCTGGCTGTATGGCTTTGGTTCTGCCTTTGATTCTCATTCCATCTCGCCCTGGCTGTATGGCTTTGGTTCTGCCTTTGATTCTCATTCCATCTCGCCCTGGCTGCATGGCTTTGGTTCTGCCTTTGATTCTCATTCCATCTCGCCCTGGCTGCATGGCTTTGGTTCTGCCTTTGATTCTCATTCCATCTCGCCCTGGCCGCATGGCTTTGGTTCTGCCTTTGATTCTCATTCCATCTCGCCCTGGCTGCATGGCTTTGGTTCTGCCTTTGATTCTCATTCCATCTCGCCCTGGCTGCATGGCTTTGGTTCTGCCTTTGATTCTCATTCCATCTCGCCCTGGCTGCATGGCTTTGGTTCTGCCTTTGATTCTCATTCCATCTCGCCCTGGCTGCATGGCTTTGGTTCTGCCTTTGATTCTCATTCCATCTCGCCCTGGCTGCATGGCTTTGGTTCTGCCTTTGATTCTCATTCCATCTCGCCCTGGCTGCATGGCTTTGGTTCTGCCTTTGATTCTCATTCCATCTCGCCCTGGCTGCATGGCTTTGGTTCTGCCTTTGATTCTCATTCCATCTCGCCCTGGCTGCATGGCTTTGGTTCTGCCTTTGATTCTCATTCCATCTCGCCCTGGCTGCATGGCTTTGGTTCTGCCTTTGATTCTCATTCCATCTCGCCCTGGCTGCATGGCTTTGGTTCTGCCTTTGATTCTCATTCCATCTCGCCCTGGCTGCATGGCTTTGGTTCTGCCTTTGATTCTCATTCCATCTCGCCCTGGCTGCATGGCTTTGGTTCTGCCTTTGATTCTCATTCCATCTCGCCCTGGCTGCATGGCTTTGGTTCTGCCTTTGATTCTCATTCCATCTCGCCCTGGCTGCATGGCTTTGGTTCTGCCTTTGATTCTCATTCCATCTCGCCCTGGCTGCATGGCTTTGGTTCTGCCTTTGATTCTCATTCCATCTCGCCCTGGCTGCATGGCTTTGGTTCTGCCTTTGATTCTCATTCCATCTCGCCCTGGCTGCATGGCTTTGGTTCTGCCTTTGATTCTCATTCCATCTCGCCCTGGCTGCATGGCTTTGGTTCTGCCTTTGATTCTCATTCCATCTCGCCCTGGCTGCATGGCTTTGGTTCTGCCTTTGATTCTCATTCCATCTCGCCCTGGCTGCATGGCTTTGGTTTGGTTCTGCCTTTGATTCTCATTCCATCTCGCCCTGGCTGCATGGCTTTGGTTCTGCCTTTGATTCTCATTCCATCTCGCCCTGGCTGCATGGCTTTGGTTCTGCCTTTGATTCTCATTCCATCTCGCCCTGGCTGCATGGCTTTGGTTCTGCCTTTGATTCTCATTCCATCTCGCCCTGGCTGCATGGCTTTGGTTCTGCCTTTGATTCTCATTCCATCTCGCCCTGGCTGCATGGCTTTGGTTCTGCCTTTGATTCTCATTCCATCTCGCCCTGGCTGCATGGCTTTGGTTCTGCCTTTGATTCTCATTCCATCTCGCCCTGGCTGCATGGCTTTGGTTCTGCCTTTGATTCTCATTCCATCTCGCCCTGGCTGCATGGCTTTGGTTCTGCCTTTGATTCTCATTCCATCTCGCCCTGGCTGCATGGCTTTGGTTCTGCCTTTGATTCTCATTCCATCTCGCCCTGGCTGCATGGCTTTGGTTCTGCCTTTGATTCTCATTCCATCTCGCCCTGGCTGCATGGCTTTGGTTCTGCCTTTGATTCTCATTACATCTCGCCCTGGCTGCATGGCTTTGGTTCTGCCTTTGATTCTCATTCCATCTCGCCCTGGCTGCATGGCTTTGGTTCTGCCTTTGATTCTCATTCCATCTCGCCCTGGCTGCATGGCTTTGGTTCTGCCTTTGATTCTCATTCCATCTCGCCCTGGCTGCATGGCTTTGGTTTGGTTCTGCCTTTGATTCTCATTCCATCTCGCCCTGGCTGCATGGCTTTGGTTCTGCCTTTGATTCTCATTCCATCTCGCCCTGGCTGCATGGCTTTGGTTCTGCCTTTGATTCTCATTCCATCTCGCCCTGGCTGCATGGCTTTGGTTCTGCCTTTGATTCTCATTCCATCTCGCCCTGGCTGCATGGCTTTGGTTCTGCCTTTGATTCTCATTCCATCTCGCCCTGGCTGCATGGCTTTGGTTCTGCCTTTGATTCTCATTCCATCTCGCCCTGGCTGCATGGCTTTGGTTCTGCCTTTGATTCTCATTCCATCTCGCCCTGGCTGCATGGCTTTGGTTCTGCCTTTGATTCTCATTCCATCTCGCCCTGGCTGCATGGCTTTGGTTCTGCCTTTGATTCTCATTCCATCTCGCCCTGGCTGCATGGCTTTGGTTCTGCCTTTGATTCTCATTCCATCTCGCCCTGGCTGCATGGCTTTGGTTCTGCCTTTGATTCTCATTCCATCTCGCCCTGGCTGCATGGCTTTGGTTCTGCCTTTGATTCTCATTACATCTCGCCCTGGCTGCATGGCTTTGGTTCTGCCTTTGATTCTCATTCCATCTCGCCCTGGCTGCATGGCTTTGGTTCTGCCTTTGATTCTCATTCCATCTCGCCCTGGCTGCATGGCTTTGGTTCTGCCTTTGATTCTCATTCCATCTCGCCCTGGCTGCATGGCTTTGGTTCTGCCTTTGATTCTCATTCCATCACGCCATTCCGCACCACACCCCCACCACCTTCCCCTCATCTCTCCTCGCAGCTTGCGGCGCTTCAACGTGGCGTTTGAGGCGCTGGTGGCAAGGCAGAGGCAGTGGTGCATTCCCGATGAGGCTCCCACTTCACCTCTTCCCCCACCAAACCCCCACCATTCTGCACCATCCCCTACCGTTTCTCACCGTCCCCCACCAATACCGCTTCCCTGCCCTATCCCAGGTTGCGGCGGTTCAACGTGGCGTTTGAGGCGCTGGTGGCGAGGCAGCGGCGGTGGTGCATTCCCGATGAGGAGCTGCGCAGGAAGACCCACTTCACTTCGTACCCAACCCACCATCCCCCACCGCATCGCACCACCTACCCCCATCTCTCCTCCCAGGTTGCGGCGGTTCAACGTGGCCTTCGAGTCATTGGTGGCGAGGCAGCGGCGGTGGTGCATTCCCGATGAGGAGCTGCGCACGAAGACCCACTTCACTTCGTACCCAACCCACCATCCCCCACCGCATCGCACCACCTACCCCCATCTCTCCTCCCAGGTTGCGGCGGTTCAACGTGGCCTTCGAGTCATTGGTGGCGAGGCAGCGGCGGTGGTGCATTCCCGATGAGGAGCTGCGCAGGAAGACCCGCGCCAAGTGGTCAACGGTGTTGCGCGAGCGATACCGCAAGATGCTGCTTCCCTTCTGGTGAGCTTACTCGCGTTGACTTGAGTTGACTTGAGATGTTATGAGTTGAGTTGAATTGAAAGACCCGCGCCAAGTGGTCCACTGTGCTGCGCGAGCGATACCGCAATATGCTGCTGCCCTTCCACACGTGTGTGTAGTTGACTTGAGTTGACTTGAGTTGACTATTCTCTACCTGGAAGACCTGCGCCAAGTGGTCCACTCCACTGTGCTGTGCGAGCGATACCGCAAGATGCTGCTGCCCTTCTGGTGAGAGTGATTGGCAGCTGACTCTGGTTGACTTGTGTTGACTTGAATTGACTTTGATTTTATGGGAGTTGAGTTGATTTGAAATACATGTGGCAAATGGTTAAACTGTGCTGCGCGGGCGATACCGCAAGACGCTGCTGCCCTTCTGGTGTGGTGAGTGAGAACGACCTGCAGCTGACTCAAGTTGACTTGCTTTGTTTGGTTTTTTGTTGACTTGAGTTTATGCGAGCTGAGTTGACTTGTAGTCAATTGTGCTGCGCTAGCGATACTGCAAGCTGCTGCTGGCGTTCCGGTCAGTGAGAGCGACCGGCAGCTTACCGGTCTGACTTGACTGGTATGCATTTGCTTAGCATCTCACTTGAGTAGATGTGCCAAGTGACCGATGCCGCAGCGCGAGAGGTTCTCGAGGATGCTGCTGGCATAATGGTGTGAGTGAGGAAGAAGAGACAGCGCCTGCGGCTAACCCAATGGTGTAAGTTGACTTTCTTTGATGTGAGCTTACTTTACCCAGTGATTGATGGTCCACAGGAGATATGTCTTCAGGTGCTCATAGCCTTCTGACATATGACAATAAAAGAACAGTAGCACTGGACTGAAATCTGTAACTGAAACTATTTTCTCTCTGCCCTACTCCGATCATCCCTTTTGGCTTTCTTTCTTCCCAAATGTTGTGTGTCTGAAGGGATGACTTGACTTCAAGTAAGCTGTTTGTGTACACCCCCGAAAGCATTGAGGCGACAATTTCAGAGACATTCTTTATAGGCCCAAACGCTTAAGAAATGTTGTGAATGTTCCTCACCTCAGCCACCTAGTCTCAAGAAGGATATTCAACTTATGCATTGCTGCTCCAATGCGATGAAATGCGCATGTTCCCTGTACAAACAAATATTCTGAGACAGTGTCGTGTATAGAAAATATTCAGACCCACGAATTCCTTCACTGCAGACATGTTGCAAAATTGGACCTAATTCCTACGTGATAAAAAAAATAAATTAATCACGGGCAGTGTGTGAATAGCGATAACTGTTTGTGAATAGCCTCATCCGCAGCTTCCATACGTGGTGCAGAACGGGTCCAGACCCGGTGCACCGAGGCGTCCTGGGGCGTGCCGGGGCGCCCCAGCTCGTCCCTTGGCGCGCCACAATAACTTCATGTATTCTTCGAAGTGCTGGGATCGAGCCTTCGCCCGGCAATGGGCGAAGGCAAGAGGCTAAAATGCAAAATTCGCCCCAGGATGTGTACACAGTTGACTTACGCCAACCTGCTCGCAAATAAAAATCTCGCCGTTGATCTACCCAAGATGATGTCGCAATCGAAAAACAGTTTCATCGAGATTCTCGCGCCACAAATTCGGAAAGTAACTAAAATCTCAAAAGTTCGCATGCCTTTCGCGTGTGCTGGGGCGCCCCAGGGCACGCCCCGGGGCGTGCCAGCACGCGTCGGTGCATCGCGGTGCATCGAGGCGTGCCAAGGCGTTCCGCACCACGTCCTTAACTTCTGTTTGTCAGTTGTTGCCCCTTCCATGACTTCTGATTGGATTACCTTAGGACCAGTGCGGCACTTGTCCCGACCCGACCTCAAATTTGACCATCGGATCAGCCTGCTGTTGATTGTGCAGTGCACACAATCTAGCTGGGCTGCGCTGCTACGGGAGTGCGGTGCGGAGTGCAAGATGGGGGAGGGAGGTGGTGTGGTTGTGTGTGGTGTGGTGTGGCGTGAGAGGGGAGGGGAGGTGCGCTGTTGAGGGAGGGGGGAGGTGCGGTGCAGTGCGCTCAGTCGTAAGTTGGTCATTCGGTTTTGTCGCCGTCGCTAGCACTAAGCCCTGACAAATGCGAGCTGTACAGTTGTACACTGTTATACTGCCAGGTGAATCGTTTTCCTGCGGCATTGTCGTCTTTCACGGGGGTGTGGGTGCACTGCTGCTGCCATTTTGCAAGCTTTTTAGGACCGCCTCTCTCCCACTGGCCTTCTTTCCCACTTCCCTTTCTCCCCTCGATGTGTCGCTTTTGTTATCACATCTCACCGCACCACACCGAACTACACTACATTCCACTCTATCCCCCCTCCAAGTTCATTTTTCCACTCCTCCCACCCGCTCTCCGTCTCCACCTACCCGAAACTCCCTTTCTCCCTTCGCTGTGATTGATCCAACCCAGCCACCGCTTTCCACCCAATCCACTCCCCCCCACCCACTCCTACCCACCCTACCCTCCCTCGTAACATTCGCCTGACATCTCTACACGTACTTCGTCTTCCCTCGTTCCTCCCGTTTGTTCCTCTGTCCGTCCCGCTCCAAGCCGTTGCTTTGCTCGGCGTCAACCCGTGTAAACACTGTGCAGTCCGTGCCCGTTCGTACGCGAGAAGTCTCGTTCCGTGACTACACCCTCTTTCTCGACCATCTCACCTTGCGCGACTCGTTGCTACAGTTCTTGTCTCTTGCGGTCAGGTGCCATAAAACGTGGGGGGAAGGCGAACCACGTGACAAACTGGCCCAAGGGAGTTCAATTTCCGTTATTGCTGTATACCGTTCTCAACCACTAAAAAACGCTGACGTATGACTTTTTTTAACGTGCATCACCTTACCTAACCGTACTTTACGAATTGTGCTTGTACAGTAGGTGATAAGACCATTCTTACCGTGGTGACGTTCTACAACCTGTTTATGTTCCACAACCAGATGCTCTGCTAGCGCGAAAGAGGGTGTACTGAACGACAGTCGCGTCATATCTGCTGACGCACCACAAGAACGATCATTGGACCCTGCCTTTTTCCCGCCTCTTTTCACGTGCTGCAGCAATTCTGCAGAGACTCACTTTTTGTTCTGAGGGGTTGGATAAAATTTCCCATCAGGTTCGATTGACTTCAGTTTCGTTCTTGCGGAGTTGGAAGCATCTCAATCGGGTGCAGTGCGGTCTCGATAGATAAAGCGACATGGATTCTCGAAATTGCCTACAGTAATTTACCAGCCCCCGACGCAAATGCTCGCTCGCCTGTTCTTTAGAGCTTTGACACGCGACGCGATGCACCTCAATACAGTATACGGCAGTGGTCCATTGTTAGCAGCAACTGCTCCTAATTTTCGTGGTTTCCGGCGGAGTGATTTATTATGCATCAGTCCTACGCGTCAGGGAGCAAAGGACGCGAAGTAGAAGGCTGGTTCTTCTTCTCATCAGTCGGCTGTTACGAGACTCTTGGATGGTCTTGCCCCCTAGTCCAAACAGCTCCAGGACCAGTCCCCGTCCTACCGGATCCAGTTGTGGAAAGTCGGAAAACCGTTAGTAGTTGGCGGCCACAGGAGAAATTTTCCGAGGCGTCTGGAAAGTTAGGACAGTCTCAGGAGCCAGCTAGTTCCTGGCTCTTTATAGTATTTCTCGCGCTGTGTGTTCCCTCCCGCTCTCATTCCAAAGTTCACTCCCCCAACACGCCCCCCCCCCCCCGCACCCCACTTCGCCTAGTCACACGACGCTTAGACCCTCCTCCTACACTAACTTCATGTCGCCACAGGTTTTGCGCGCTTCTGCGCCGCGAATACTTCCCACCACGTCGGCGTCTGATCATCTTCACTCCACTGCTGGAGGATCGCGCCTTTCGCGCTCGTCCGCCGCTGCTGCGGGATGCGCCGCACCATCCGTCGCATCACCCGCCGCACCACCTGCCGAATTATTCTCCACATCAGCCGCTGGTGACTCCTGCGCAGTAGGAGCGGCTCCAGCTGTCGCCGCCGCACCGTCTGCTGATGCCTGCAGTCCGCGTGAGCGCTCTTTTTCTCCCCGCAGCACGCGCGCCGACTGCCGCCGCGCGCCACGACACAGACACTCGCGCTCCTTTTCCGGAGACTTCCCCTCTTTTCACGCCATTGCGCCCAGGTCACCCGCCAATTCCGTCATTCTCGCTTCCAACAGCCCTCGTAGCAGCGGGCCTCGCGGGGACCCCGCGGAAACCGCCGCCACCCCCGGCGACGGCACGTGTTCTCCCGCTTCCCCCGCCCCCGGCGGAAATTTTTCCGCCCGCAGCGGAGGCACAGCGAACGGCGCACGGCTTTCTGCGCAGCGACGGTCGCTGCCACCGGGAATGAGCGTCGACGGCGGGGTTGGTCTGGGGGATTTTCCCCTCATGGGTGGCAGCGGTCTTGGGAACAGTGGTGCTGACGTGGCGTTTCTGACGAGCCAGTCGCCGCGAATCGACCTTCTACGGAGATTGAAAATGGAATCGGCTGTCGCGGCGTCGTCGTGCGATTCGCCTTCTTTTTTCTCCCCGTCGCACGCCGCGGCGTCGACGAGCGCGCGCGATTCGTTCTTTTTGTTTGAGCGACAAGGAAGCGTCGGCTTGCTCAGCGACGGATCGTGCGACCTCGGCGACGACGGGAGCGGGAGCTTCTTTTGTGTCCCTGCGAAAGGATCCACTGGCGAAACCTTCAGTAACCTGTTTCGCTTAAAGGGCGTATTCGGGAGCAGGGGCAGCGGCAGCGGCGATAGCGGCAGTTTCGGCGGCGGAAGCGGAAGTTTTAGTAACGGTGGGGGAAGCGGAAGCTTGAACGGCGGGGGTAGCGGGAGCTTCGGCTGCGGGGTTACTGTTGCTAGTACTAACCTGGGCGGCAGGGGCGGCACCACTAGGCGGGTGAGCATATCTGAGGAAGATTTTTGGGCGGCTGTCAGATATTCTGACGATGGTGATTGTCAACCCGGCCCTCCGCCCTATCCTTCTCATCGTTCCCATCCCCCCTATAATTATTCCCGTGATTCGCATCAAGTCGATGCGAATTCTCATCAGAGACCAGAAGATTTCGTCCCGCCTCAACGCGTTACGTCTATAACTGTCATAGCTAAGACGGTGTCGCCCCTCGTAGGTGCTCCGGTCTCGGCTCTCCCCACCCCTCCTGCCGCTGCTACCACTGCTGCTGCTGCTGCTGGTCGAGATGCTGTAGGCTGTGACGGCGCCAACGGCGGCGGCGGCGGCGGTATTGAGGGTTACGCGGCTTTCAGTGCAGCCGATTCTGCCTCTGTCGCGTCTCCTTCCGCATCACCCCATTTACCAGTTTCTCCCGTCGACGACGGGTCTGCCACTGCCTTCCTCGAAGTTTCGTGCAACCCTGCCGAACCGCTAACTGGTGCCACGTCAGCAGGAGCTGAACCCTTGCTTTCCACCTCGGGTGCTGCCAAAGCCACCGTGATCAGCAGGGCGGTCGCCACCGCGCGGTTCGCCACGTCAGCATCGACAGGCAGCAGCAGCGGCAGCCACGTGTCAAACTGGACGTGGACCACCACCACGACTAGTCTGAGCCACGAGTCGGCGAACAGCGAGAGGACGAGCAGCAAACTTGGCGGCGGGCTTGACGGCGCATTTGACGCCGGAAATGGCGGTGAAATTGTTAAGGGATGTAACAGCGGGTTTGACGGTGACACGTGGACGGGTGCTGAATTGTCGTCTGCAGAGTCCTCTCCCCGCCTCTCTCCCTCGAGCCCGGGATTCTTCTCGCCTTCTCGTCGGAGCTTCAGTCACCAGCAAGATCCGTTTCAGCAAACCCCGTTACACGGCTTGTTGCACGAGGCAGAGGATGACGAGGAGGGGAATGATACGGACGGAATAGAGATTGGCGCTGTAGAATGGCACCACTCGCATCGATTCTATAGCGCGTATCACCAGCCGCAGCATTACGGCCGGCAGCAGCAGCAGCCTCCGCGCGGCCGTTACGGCGCGAGGCTCGGAGCGATGCCCGTTGGGGCGACTCGCAACCAGGTGCAGCTCTGGGAAGGTAGGAAAAGTACAGAGGACAAGC